CGATCCCGGATAAATCGATTGCTACCCGCCGATACGGCGGGTAGTGAAGACGTACCCTAGGAGTGGTTGATTGGCAGGCTTCTCACCTGAGAAAGGGAATGAGGGTGTGTGTATCTGTTAATTTCCCATCCCAGGAAGCATAGCCAACAGTACAAATATCCTCTTGTGTTTAAAACAGTGAGAGGGCTTCTCTGTTCTTTCTGCTGACTCTTTAATATAGAACCTTTTCTCTCCCCACCCTCACCCCCCAGCTGTTAAAATTAGTATTAACTACAGCGGTGGAAGATGGTATTCTGGAGAGATCCCTTGGGGTTGGGATTTATAGCTCTGTTTCCCCTGACAAATAGCTCTGCTTCTGCCTCTGGATCCACAAGGGCAGAGAGAACCCTCTATGGAGAATTGCTGGAGGGGATTTCTATGAAGAGAAACTAGTGAATTAAGAGACATTTCTTTTCTTTTCTCTCCTCCTGCCATCCTCCAAACAACTTGTGTGTTTTTTGCTCTGACTAGAGGAATTTCTTCAGTTCCTTCACGCAGACTGCTTCCCTGCGCTTTGTTCACACTGTAGGTTCCCTCCTTCCCTTTGTTTATGGACTCAACTTTCTCCAAATCTGTCTTTAAAACAAAGCTCAAACTTTTTTTCTCCCCTCCCCTTCCTTCCAGAAGGCATGACCGAACTCGGACTCATGGAAACTATATTGACTACCATCTACCTGAAGAAAACCCTCCATTCGCTTTGCCTCTCAGGAAGCCTCCCAACCTTCTGTGTTACCTACCTTGCAAAGCACAGGAAAATTCTCTTAAACTGGGGAAGAACGGTTTTTTCCTTGGCATTGACCTTTCTCTTCCTTTGGCTTAAATGTTGGGAAAGAGTGTGTCTGCAGGAACTTTTTGCTCCGTGGGTCTCCTCGGCAGTTCTCCTCAATGTGATATACCAGCTGGCCAAGAAGATTATGAAATCCAGGAAGGGTCTCTGTTCGACTCCTGCTGATGCTGGTTTGAGGGGCTCCTCTGCATCTCCTATCAAGAAGGGGAGGTCTCTCCTGTTCTCTTCAGATCATTGTTTTACCAGGAGTAGAGCTAGCAACAGTACAGTAACAGCAGTGAAACACTCAGCTCAAACCCCTTGCCCCATTGTCTGCTTCAGTAATGTTGGCATCATCTTTTCAGCAATGAGGAGACAAAAGCACAGGTCCCCATGGAACCAATTCTCTTAGAAGGACTCTAAAGACTTCTTTTGAGAAAACACTGGTGATCCAGACCATATCAGATTGCTCTTCCAGCTAGGCTCTAGTATTGACCCTTAGGCAAACTGTGGCCGCATAGAAATAAATCCCTTTCTGGACAATGTTCTCTTTTGGGGTCACTCAGAACAAGCCCTTCAGAACACCAGTATAGCAGGTGCTCTTACCTAGAGATTGGAATGTCTTGGCATATTTTTAGTGCTTTCCCTTATGGTAGAGGAGTTTGGTTTCCACCCAAACAATAAAATCCTCCCTTTCCAGGGCATACAAAAGTAGCTGAGTAGACTTTCAATTTTCCCCAGGGGTAAACACTTTTTCCTCAGACTCATTGATGCAGTGTTCGTTATATCTGTAGTAGTTGCTCTTCCACCAGGACTAAGCATGTTAATGCAGTACTTGAAGGATGGAGCTTCCTCTGACCTTCACTGGAAAACCTAGGAGTCCCTAAATAAGCACAAATGCAAACTCAAGTTGTCAAACCCAAAAAGCTCTCTTCCTTCTACTTACTCCTTCACCTGCCTCTTCCTATGCCCTGCAGTTCTCTTCTGTTCTGAACCTCAAACAGGTCTTTGTGTAGTCCTTCTGTTCTTCCCAACATGCCTTACAGCAGACTACAAATGTCAGGGTCCCTATGGTGACTACATCTCCCAGAATTCCTTTTCTTGAGAGGCCAAGTCCAAGCAACAAGTGAGCTGGTGATCCCTGTTATTAAAGTGACCCAGGGACACTTGTTTCTTCAGCATCATCATTTTTTAGTAAATGTCCAGATGAGCCAGCTAAATCTTTCTCAGGAAATTCAACATCTTTAAGTTATAATCAACAAGGAAATAATCCACTGTCAAAGAATGCTCCAAGGATTTGGAACACTTTCTATATCTGGTGCAAGGCTGAAAAACTGAATCCAAAGTTTCAGATTCTAGAACTTCAGCAGAATGGTTTATTTATGTGGCTTGTAGTGACCAACCTCTCTATACAAACATATATATCTCTGATTTTGTCTGTCCTGGGAACAAGTAAACTGAGGGAGAAAGCTCTATTTACTTACTCTTCTATTATTTCTCAATGCAGCATCCTTTCTGAATCTCCAAGAAATACATAAAATGGTTTAATGGAAACTACTTCTAGTTTCAGATGCTATTATGAAATCACCCTTCAAGGTACTTCTATCTGATTCTCTCTTCTGTGTCTCCATTAAATGTACTTCCTGATTTCTAACATGCCTGCAGGTTGGATTTCAGTGCTGGAAGCTTTGTCTGTGGGCTATTTTTCCCCACAGGTAAAGCTGTAGGCTAGTTAGAGCTAGCTTTTATTGCAGAAGTAAATTTAAATTCTGTGTTTTACAACTCCCAGGAAATTTTGTTTCTTTTTTTTAATCCAAAACCCAAGAATTTAAAAGGAAGGATTGGCACCTGCTTAATGTCTGATGATCTATCAAAATATACGTGATAAGGACAGAATCATTCAGAAAACCAAAACCACAAATTTGTCCCCTACTATCCTACAGTTACAGGAAAGAGAGCATCTAAAACCTCAATTGCTGAAACTTTGTGCAAGGGCAATTTACCAGGTTAAAGGTATGAATCCTTTGGGATTCATTAGAGCTATCAGATGAGAGGCATTTTCATTTTTTGTGGACAGAAAAGTCCTTTGAATCTGATGACAAAAATTGCAAGGCTGCTACATGGTAATCTAGGCATATTTTCTCCTGGCATTACAAGCTCCCTGTAAAAGCAGTGGTGGATGCAGCCTTTGGCAGAATGCTGCAGACAGTTACTCCCTCACAAATAACTTATTACATAATGTTGTGTGCAGCTGTTCTGAAGCTCTTTCTCTGGGTTTAATTGTTGTTGAAAATCCCATTGTTGGAATTGTGAATTTAGATACATAGGGGGAGAGAGGAATTTGCCCTCATCTGAGATTTTTTTTCTCCTAGAATCCAGGTTTGTCATCTCCCTCCAATATGCGAGAGAGTGGTGGGGACACAGGCCTTAATTTACTGTAGCCTTCTACAGACTTTCCTTTTGCTAAGTAGAAAGTTTATGGTGCAAACTGTTGGAATTATTTTAGCACAATCCATTTGTAGATATAAATTCAGATTTCAGCTTAAGGAATCCATCTCACTAAAGCAGGCGTTCTCAACCTGAGGCTTGAGAACAGATATCAGGGGATCAAGACCACCCTGTATTGCTAAAAATAAGGAAGGTCCTGGCTACATCCCAGTTACATGGGAAGGAGATTCCACTGTGCTAGGGGCTTCCCTCAAGTAGGTGAAGCCAAACCAGTTCTAGTAATTGACAGCTCGGTCACAAATTCCTACACTTTAAAGCCAGAAGGGACCATTGGTCATCTAGTTTGACCTCTGTTATACAGCCTCACATTTTTGAGCCCAATAACTTGTGTTTGGCTAAAGCATCTTCCAGAAACTCTAGGTTTGATTTGAAGACCTCAAGAAAATCCCCCACTTCCCCTAGTAGTTGTTCTAATGGTTAATCATTGTCAAAAATGTGTGCATTGTTAATGTTTCTAGTTTGAATTGGTCTGGCTTCAGTTTCAAGCCTTTAGTTCTTGTTCTGCCTTTCTCTAAAGAGCCCTTTAGTACTCAGTATTTTCTCCACTCAAGTAGGGTGACCAGATAGCAACTGTGGAAAAAAGGGATGGGGTGGAGGGTAATAGGCACCTATCTAAGAAAAAGTCCCAAAAAACAGGACTGTCCCTATAAAAATGGGACGTCTGGTCACCCTATTGTCAAGATACCTATACACTGTAATAGTCACCTCTTGATCTTCTTTTTGATAAGGTAAACAGACTGCAAGACACCTTCTGTAGCCCTCAAGTCATTTTTTGTTACTCTTTTCTGCACCATCTCCAATTTTTCAACGTCTTTTTAAATTTTGGCACCAGAACTAGATGCAGTATGCTGTGTACTGAGGAAAAATCACATCCCTGCTCCTGATCACCACTCTCTTTTTTCTACATCCATGGACTGCATTAGCCTTTTTTGCCACAGCATAGCACTGGAGGCTCATGTTAATTTTTTTTGTCCATTACGACCCTTTTATCCTTTTTGGAGTCACTGCTTTCCAGGATACAGTCCCCCATTCTTTAGACATGGCCAGCATTTTTTGTTCCTAGATGTATAACTTTGCATTTGGTATGCTAACTTGCATTTTGTTTGAATTGGCCCAGGTTACCAAACAATGCAGATGGCTCTGTATGACTGCCCTGTGCTCATTATTCTTTACCACTCTTTGTCATCCACAAATTTGATCAGCAGTGATTTTATATTTAGTTCTAGATCATTGATGGCAATGTTGAATAGCATCAGGCCCAGTGTTCCCTCTAATTTTTCCCATCCATGTGCGGAATGAATTTTGTTATGTGCACCAATATGGAGGTGATGTATGACACATCATCTTCATGTCGGTGCACATAACAAAATTCATGTGGTGGGGATGGGGCTGAGGGGTTTGGAGTGTGGGAGGGGGCTCAGGGCTGGGGCAGAGGGTTGGGGTCCAGGGGTGGGAGGGCTCCGGCTGGGGGTGCGGGCTCTAGGGTGGGGTGGGGGATGAGGGGCTCAGTGCTGGGGCCGAGGGTTGGGGTGCAGGGATGTGAGGGCTCCGGCTGGGGGATATGGGCTCTGGGGTGGGGCCAGGGATGAGGGGTGTGGGGTGCAGGAGGGTGCTCAGATGCTACGGCGGGAGAGAGGACTTCTCCCAACTCTCTCTCCCCGCAGCAGCACCTGGGTTGGGGGGGAGAGGCACTTCTCCCCGCCGCGGCAACTCTGGGGTTAGGGCTGCAGGATAGGTGCCCTGGCCCCAGCAGGTCCGTGCCTGGGGCCGCGCTTGGGCTGGGCCGGGCCACAGCAGAGTTGGGGCCGGGGGAGGGGTGCTCCTCCCCCGACTGCAGCAGGTCCCCAGGTGGGTTCCTTGAGCGCCTGTGTGGTGCTAAATAGGCTGCTGCACAGCTCACAGGGAACTTATATCAGGTCTACTATCTATCCCTGTGGAATCCTATTAGACACCCCATCATGATTCCTGATTGACAACTACTTTTTGAGATCAGTGAACTAGCAAGTTCTTAATCCTTTTGTGTGATTTATTGATATTGTATAATGTTAAATTTGTAATTAGAATGTCATGTTGTAAAAAGTCAAAAATGCCTTAAAAAATCCTAAATTTTTTACATCCGTACAGTTACCTTTATCAACCAGACTTGTAATCTCATCCAAGAATGAAATCAGGTTTGTTCGATCAGACCTATTTTTCATATAACCATGTTTACTGGCATTAATTATATTCCTGTCTTTTAATTTTTTTTTATCAATTGGATATCATATCAGCTTTTCTGTTGTTTTGCCTGGGATTGATATAAGGCTAAGCAGCCTATATTTACCTCATCCTACTTGCCCTTTTTTAGCATGACATTAGTACTCTTTTGGAATTTCCATGGTATTCTAAGATTTATTAACATAAGTGAGCCAGACATCTCCTCAGCCAACTCTTTTAGGACTGTTGGGTGCAAGTTATCCGGGCCTGCTGATTTTAAAATGTTTATGCCTCATGGATGTTGTTTAATATCCTCCTTGGTTAGTAAATGACCGGAAAGTACTTAATGTACCTATATCGCACAAGGGATGATGATCCTGCTCCTTTCCAAATACAGAAAAGAAATATTCATTGTACCCTGCGTTTACTGAGTCATTGACAATTTTATCATATCCATCTAGTAATGGAGCATACCATTGCTAGGATTTCATTTGTTCCTAATATACTTTAAAAAACTCCTCCTTATTGTGCTAACCCCACCAGCCATGAATTGTTCCCTGATGTCTTTAGCTTCCCTTATCAATTTTCCATACTTCATAACTTCTTATTTATATTGATTGCTGTCTCTTTCCTCTTTTTTCATGTGTTTTATATTGCTCTTTAAATTTCTAGTTGTTGCCTTCACTTTGCCACTGAACCGGGATTCTTTGAACCAAAGTTATCCTCTTTCTTCCCTGTGGATTTGTGGCTTTTGGGCCATCTAATAAAATCTGCTTAAAGAACTCTCAACTTTTGTTCACATTTCTGTCTAATTTTTTCTTCACATACAGTATCTAGCTTACGCTTCACACCCTGTGCTATGTTGCGTGTCTGTCTGCCTGTGGGCCTTAACTCCAGGTCAGGGTAGTTTTTGTTTGGTGTTTTTTGCCAATAGTGTAAATTCAAGATGGAAATTATTCTCTCTGTAAAATTAATGCAAACAGCAACTGCTATGGCGATCTAATTGGGAGTCCAGGAGGGAGAGGGGTTTGCACTGGTGTTCAGAAATGGGTGTGCCTTTGGCACAGGTGCTTGGCTAATTTGCTGTGACGTGTAGATGGAGTGTCCATTGTGCCTAGAGTTCAGGATGTGGCTGCAAATTTAGAATCCTGCTCACTTAGATTTTCAGTCTCTGAATTTCCTGATATTACAGATTTCAGTCAATCCTTTTGTATTGCTGTAATATAGATTTGTAGGGAGTGGTTTTCTTTTTGTTGTATTAGTGCTTTTGCATTATTGATCTGACACAAAACCCCACTGTATTTTGCTTGCAGGTGCCTTCCAATATATGCTTATATTTTGGTTATTATTAACTTATAATATCCAGGAACTGTAATTCTGAAAGAAAATGGACAGAAGTAAGTCCTTTTTCTGCTTACCAAATACATTTTGTTTGTATAACAGATGGTGGTTATTTGGATATGCTTTTATCATACAGGGAATATGGCTGGACAGAAACTCATAAGAGAAGTCACTAAATGGAATTATAGCTTCTGTTCCTTTCAGCAGAATGGCGGCAATGATGTATTTTATCAAATTCCTCTGTGTATCTCAGTCATTAACAATAATGTTTTCATTATCATCCTTACACACACACACGCGTCCCTCCCAGCTGGTAGGCTGTGTGTCATAACCCTGAGAGGCTCTGTTACCGAGGTCTGATTGGTGGGCTCTGTTTATTCTGTGACCAGATTCTTCTAAAAGAAGGCAGGCCATAGCTGTCTGAAGCTGATTGGCTGTCCCCCTCTGACTTCCCCCATTTCCCTTTCAGAGCACACACCACAGAAAGCTCTGTGCTGAATCCTAACACATCCCAATTTACATCCATTCATGAATCTGTGACGTCAGCAAGCTTCTGTGCTCCTTTTGCAGTGGCTGCAGGATTGTGTGGGTGGAATTTCCTTTTAGTTTGCTAAGCTTTTTTTTTACCTTCCATCTTTTTAAACCAAGAAAATGGACCATCATGTGTAGGAATTCTCCATCCTTGTGAGTATTTCACCAAATGCTTGTAGGGGGTGTCTGGGGGTGGTGTAATGCCAGTGTTACCTTCTTATCATTTATTTGAGCGGGGCAGATGGATGGTGCATTTGTGATGTGGAGAGACTGAAAAAATGATGCTGAGGGAGAGGCGGGGAGAGAAATCTGAAACCATAATTTAGCCAAGAGTGTGTCTGAAGTCGACAGCTGGTTTTCCTTTTGCTTGTCTGCATGGTAGATATGGACATTTTTCATTTACAATCTTGTATGTTATTCCTTAGTGCTTCCTGTGCCTGCCTTTTACAGGGGGAGGGAATAAATGTCAGTGAAGAGTCGCCGTATGAAAAGATAGATATTGGGGTATTCAAGGAACAACAGAAGAATTACCGGAGACAGAATAGGAAAAGCAAAGCTGCCTTTTTACCTGCTGGGCAAGTGTAATCTTTCCTCTTTGCTGGCTGTTCAGCAGTTTTGCTGTCATGTTGTTGTTATAGAAATGGATCATTTAAGATCTATTTTTGAGAGGATGAGGTAGCCTGTGTAATATGGTGAATATTTTGGCTATAATTTTGTCCTTTTAAATAGAAGCTTTTAGCTGTTTGTTTCTTGTTCTGGACATACTTATGGCCAGATTCTTTCATTCTTACATTGTATAGAATCTCATTTGGGAGTAGTCCCATTGCAGTCAATGGTGCTAATCACGGAGGGCTAGACTGATACTCTTGCTCATGTTGAATAGGGCTTCATATTATGAATAATCCCACTGAAGTCAATGGGAAGTCATACTGTGAGTAAGGAAATCAACAGTCTGGCTTGTGATTTTTAAATCAGTGGGTAAGGTGAATACCTGAATTTTTAGTTTGAAGAAGGCAGTGTCAGAGCCATACCTTTTAGGCAAGCTAATTTTGGTTGTGATTGGTCCTTATGGCATCAGGAGAAAGCTGAAGGGAAGTGTTTTATTATTTTCCTGAAATGGCAGATCAAAATGAGAACATCTGACTATGTGGTGAACGTTTAAAAAAAAAAAAAAGAGTAAACTAAGTAAGTGTGTTGTCAGCTACATTTTGCAAACACGTTCTCTCTAAATTCACTACACACACCCAGCCTGGAATGTCCTACACTGACAGTCAGGTTGCAGTTGTTGAAAAGTTAGGGAATTATGCTAATCTTTGTTTTCATGGTAGCTTTGTTGATAATTTAGGAAACTTTCAGAGAGAGCTGGGAGATCCTACTGGATCTGTATGTATCTGGCTTTTCAAAATATCAGTGGACAATAGAGCCCAATTTGAGAGTCAGTAGGCTTTTTTAGTTCTTGACTGTTTGGACTTAATTTGGGGGGGGTTGTTCATCTCACTTCCGATGGTTCATTTTATATTCCATGTTGAACTTCATAGGTTAGATCAGAAAAGAGGCCTGATCTGGGATAATCTTTGGTTTAGATTTCCCTTTGTCCCATACTGGCCTACTATACTTCAACTCGTCACTGTTCTGATTAATTTTCAGTTTAATTACTAGAATTATGAAATTGTTATTTATAGCATCAAATGGGTGTGAGGCACTCTTAAAATTTAGGCAACCACGCCTACAGCTGAAAACTGTTTTCAGAATTTGTGTTTTTCTTTTTTTCTCAAATTCATGCCTCTTACTTTTCTATTTTTGTCCTCTATTTAAATGAGTTGGCAAGTGGATGGTACTATGTTTGTCTCCAGTGGCCTGGAAAATTTAGGAATTATTTATTTGTAAATTACTGTATAGATAAAGTAGATTTCATTGGTTTCACCAAACTGTTTAAAGTGTGGTTCTATTCTAGATAATAACAATGTGAAAATAGATTGTGGCATTCCATATTTGCATCTCAGTGATTTCCAAAGTAAATGTGCTAAGTTCACAGTGATCAGACCTCAAGGGATTGTTCAGTTTGGAGAGAGCTCACAAGTTCTGGGGGTATTCTCTTCTTAGGCATATTGAACGCTTTGAAATGGTGGAATCTTACAATGTAAAAGAAATTCTTGAAGTACAAACACTGTATAAGTGAAAAGATGGGTTTATTGTCAGCCATACAAACTCCTCTTGGGATCGTAGTCAAGCTGGGTTCTTTCCATTTCTCACATCATCTCCTGTAATAAAGATCTTGTAGAACATGGTAAATGCTTGTGTCTACACTGCAGCTGGGAGCATGCTTCACAGTGTAGGTAGACAAACACATGCTAGTTCTGCTTAAGCTAGTGTGCTAAAAATAGTAGTGTAGCCTTGTCAGCACAGGTAGCGGCTCAGGCTAGCTATCTGAGTACAAACTGCCCAACCCCCAGGGCATGCACTCCAGTGGCTAGCTCAACCTTCTGCCTGTACAGCTGCAGCCACACTATTTTTAGTGTGCTAGCTTAAGCAGAGCTAGCGCATCTGTCCATCCAGGCTGAGAGGCACATTCCCAGGCACTGTAGACAGAGTCTTAGTGACATTCATGCTCTTCGTTGCTGTCAGTGGGTTTTCACAGTTGTAACTAACTGAAACTTTGTAAAGAATTCTCTACGTGGCTATGCAGAGTCTAACAGGAGTAGATTTTTTTTCGTCATTTTAAAGTGGAATTTCACTTTAAATCAAGATATCAAATAGATATTTTACAATGGCATGTATAAAAGCTGCATATGTAAGTGGGGTCTGAGTGAGCTCTCTGCTGACATCCAGTGATGGGGGGCGGAGGGGAAGACTTCAGCAGCGGAACATATTTGCATAGACCCTCCTACTCTGCCCAGGTGTGCAGCAGGTAGAGCTGCATTGTTAAAATGATCAATTTTGGCTGGTTTTGGGTTACAAATCACTAATATTGAAAGCAGGGGTGTGGCGGGGTGAAGACTCACCGGCATGGTGCCTCCTGCTGGCTGTCTCAGGAATTAGCTCTTTCCAGCCCGGAGCGCCCTCTGCAGGCCGGTGTCTCGCCTGCTGCTGGCCCCGTGTCCCTCCCAGACCCCGGTGCCCTTTGCCAGGGGTTCTGCCCACCACAGTACCCCCTCGCTCAGGGTCTCCCCTCCCAGGGGAACCCCTAACCCTCTAAACCCACCTTGCCTCAGTGTCTACTGCCAGCCATCATCTAGCCGCTGCTCCCTGGGGCAGACTGCAATCTGTAAACCACTCATCATCGGCAAGGGGGTTAGGACCTGCTGCCTTTGCCTATCTCTGGGCTGCCCCTCTGCAGCCCCAGTACCTATTTGGCCTTTTTGGCAAGGCCTGCAGTTTGGGATTTTTCCTGGCTGGAGCTCCCCAGCTCCCTTCCCCAGCACTGCTCCATCTCAGGTACCCTTCTCAGATCCCAGGCAGCCAGGTCCTTCTCTCTGAGAAGCTAGAGAGAGAGTCTGTGTTAGCTTCTGGCCCACAGCCTGCTTATAAGGGCCAGCTGGGCCCTGATTAAGTTGGCCACAGCTGTGGCTGCTTTCCCCCTCAGCCTACCCTTTCCCAGCTGCAACCCTCTCCAGGGCTGCTTTAACCCCTTCAGGGCCGGAGCGGGGTGACCACCCCGTTACAAGGGGTAATGAATTGTTATCCTTATTGTACGAGTAAAGGGTAGCTGACATAGCTCCCCTCTCCCTCTACTGCACCCTACTTGCAGTTGGCTGTCCTTGGTTAGCAAAGACCCAGAGTTCAGAGGTGCATTCACAGTGTTTAGCTTCCAACCGGGGGTGGAAAGAAATGCCTCTGCTGCCACCTCTGCAACTGGCTCACAGCCACTGCTGCCCCTCTGCGATGTCAAGTTCTGAGGTTCTGCCACTTAACGCAGCTTTTAGTGATATCCGCTCTCCGTGATTTCAGCAGGTCATGGGGAACCTCACTGAAAGTGCAGTTTCTGTGCTGGCTTTCACTGCAACACTGTCTGCACACAAAGGTGTAAGCTTAGCCCCTAGACTTGCTCAGTAGTGATGTCAGCTCCAGGAATTACCAAACAGAAGGGCTCTCAACTGAGGCTAATCCGCTCTCCTTTAAATGCTGGAGAGGGGCAGGTCAAATGGTGTTTGGGACTCTTTAAGCAGAGTTTACATCAGGGGTAGGCAGCCTATGGTATGTGTTCCAAAAGCGGCACGCGAGCTGATTTCATTGGCACTCACACTGCCTGGGTCCTGGCTCTGCATTTTAATTTAATTTTAAATTAAGCTTCTTAAACATTTAAAAAACCTTATTTACTTTACATACAACAATAGTTTAGTTATATATTATAGACTTATAGAAAGAGACCTTCTAAAAACGTTAAAATGTATTACTGGCATGCAAAACCTTAAATCAGAGTGAATAAATGAAGACTTGGCACACCATTTCTGAAAGGTTGCCGACCCCTAGTCCACATCATCACATAGGTATATCTGTCACCAAGCACTCTCATCTTCACTGGCATTTGACATCCCTATCTCCTGCTTAGCAAATGAGGTTCAGCTTTGGGTGACCTTCTCAATCAGAGCATGCTAAGCACAGTTCTGCTGCCCTTTACTTGTAAAATTGGGATAATAATGTTTCATTACCCCTGTGTTCAATACTAGAGTGATTTGTAACCCCAAACCAGCCAAACTTGATCATTTGGGCAAAGCAGCTTCATCTGCTGTGCACCTAACCAGAGTGGGCATGTTTGTGCAAACACATTCTGCTCCTGAAGTCTTCTCCTCTCCCCTCCTTCCCCGGCTCATCACTAGATGTCAGAGGAGAGCTCGTTTGGACGCTGCTTATACATAGACTGACTTAATATTCCACAAGAGAAAATATGTTCTTAATGCATGAGCTGTGAGAAAGTAGAGATGAGTCTCTGGCCCTTTCTGATTCTCTGGAAGTTAATTGTTTATAATAAATGCACTTCTTATAGTGCTCTTTATTGACAGATCTCAAAGCAAGTTACATAGGAGAAAGGTAGAGAAACTGTAGTGAAATGACTTGCTCAAGGTATCACAGCAGTTCAGTGGCTGAACCAGGCGTTTATAAACCAGGTCTCCTGATTCCCAGTGCAGGCCTCTGATAGGAACCTGAAAAGGATG